CATACAGCTCTAAGTTTTACTACAGAAAATCTATTGTTATGATTGAGTTTTCCTTGGAATTTGAGAAATAAATGTGGGATGTTTTACAGTTTATTTATCTATATCATCACTAGTTTAATTCACAAACCAATGAAAGGGCACTAGCCCAGGATTAGTACGTCTGAATAGATCACTAGCCCGTAAGTTATTTTTGGTAGCGTCGGGCTAGTGGATTTTTACAACCCTGGTTACAGCATAATGATGGTTAAATTCAAATTTTGTGAAAATGTACTAAAACTGACGGACAAAATGGCCGCTCCCTGTACGCAAATAGTGTTAAAGTATGTAATATCACGGTTGTGGGCCCTCTAGCGGTCACAATTTTTATCCGATTATAAAAATCGTTTAGATATATCATCATTACACCCTGTTGATGATTGAGTTCGTATTTCGTAAAAATCAGATCGAAACGACAAAATAACCGCAAATAATAGTGTAAAAGTATATAAGGTGGTGGACCCGCTAGAGGTCACAATTTTTGTTAGATTTTGATGAAACTTAAAATGTATGTTTATATCCCAAAGATCTTAGTTCCTTTGGATATTCGCACATATCAGACCATAACTTCCTGGGCCCTTATTCACGAAAAGTTAAACTAAGTTACAACCGAAATGTTAAGAAATACTGCAACTTCATTGGATAGATGCAAATTGATTTTACTGGTCAGCCAATCAAATTGCAGTATTTCTTAAAATTTCGATTGTATCTTAGTTAAAGTTTTCGTGAATAAGGGCCCAAGATTATGGTCCCTGATTGTTCTAAATATTTAGCTTCTTTATCCTCTAGAGATCACAATTTTTATCTAATTTTAAAAATTGTTTTAATATATCACCGTTACTCCATAATGAAGCTTCAGCTCAAATTTTAGGAAAATTGAAACGCAACTATCTGACAAAATGGCAGCTCCTTGTACGCAAATTGCGTTAAAGTATGTAATACGAAGGTTGTGGACTGTTAAAAGGACACAGTTTTTGTCCAATTTTGATCAAACTTAAAATATATCTTTATATTTCAAAGATCTCAGTGCCTTTCGATATTTGCACATTACAGACCATAACTTCCTGGATTATGGCCCCAGATTCTACAAAAAATCACTTCTTTTTTTTTTTTTAGCTTGTTCTCTATTCATCTCTAGCAAAATGTTGCCGTACCTTGCCTGGCAACAGCTAGTTGAATTTCGATGTTGTTTACTTCCAGTTTCACTTTGAAATTTTTTCTACTTTTGACCTACTGTCTAGTAACCCTAGCCGTTCATTGACCTTATGACCTTGATGTCTACTAACAATTTTAACTGTAAGTTATACTAAGATTTCAAAATGACAGGTTTTTCCACTTTAATTGGATATTACTATACTTAATAGTTCATAGTGTAACTTGATTGTTGACATGACAAGGGCCACAAGTCGTGACCTGACCCGATGTACCGAAACACGTCAGTACTGCTTTTATGCAGTTCTTCTTATTATTATTATTATTCATCTTCTATAGCGCTTGGAGGGTTGGATGGCCGACTGGTTAGCATGTGCACTCTGTATCATAAGGTCCATCATTGAGTCAACTGGCGTGGTTTCGATTCCCCGGTTGTACGTGACAAGGAGTAGGGTTGTCTGTCCAACCTCGTGGGTTTTCTCCGGGTCCTCTGTTTTCCTCCCACTGCACTGCTAAAGACCCCTACGTGCAAGCAAATTATTGAAATAAAATTAAGCCATATGTTAGTCCCGAAATGACCTAGTTTGGGTTGAGTGTATGTTAAAACCCATTACTATATCTCTCTACTCTATAGCGCTTCATCATATCCGGTGATGTTTCTAAGTGCATTAATAAGTCAAATCACAGTTAGTAGTAATATAGTTGAATTTTCTCTGATTGTTCTTGAGCCATTTATAGGGAAAGATAGTTTTTCTCTGAGTCTCTTAAATGCAGGCACAGATAATAAAGTAGTATCTGCAGACGAATGGAGATTTGGTCTTTCCTGTTTGTAGAATGTGAATATATCTTCCAGTTTCACTTTGGAGCAGTATCAGAAAACAACCAGAGCGATGAGTAGGCTCATTTACATGCTAAGTAAGATTAAATGCGTTGATAAGTTCAGTGAATTTCTTTGTATGTCTGTCAAGTGGGATATCGAGGTGAATATTGAAATCCCCAACTATAACTAAAGCCCCGACGCGAAAGACAAAACATGGAGTAGATCAGAAAATTCTTTGAGAAATTTTGATGCTGGAGGCCGATAAACTACCACAAGATAATTTTACGTTTGCACTGAAATCTCAGTTAGACTTTCTGTATGCACTTTGTAAATATTGTTACTGTGTAGTTGCTAGTTTTATAGAGTAGAAGGGACATGTTGAAAATTAGAACTCATGTACTATGTTCCCTCAGAAAATAAAGTCATTATTATTATTATAATCACAAGGGCCGTCCGTCTTTAATGAATCGGCACACAACTGTTGGCAATTGAAGGAGTTTATGATAGCAGTGATGAAAGGAAGGAGCGCATCTAATACTGGTTTGGACTTCAGAAACCATGTTGAAACAGGATCAAGGCTACAGGAAGTTAACTTACACCTACCAATGATGGACAGGACATAATACCAAGGCTATCCAGAGACCACAATTCTTGTTTGATTTAGACTACATTCTTTTAATGAAATATTTTCAATTTTAGTTGTAAGCATTGGGGTCATGACAGGATGAACCCTATTGATTTTCCATGGATGCTTCACATGTGCAAATACTGTACAAGTATGTAATAGCTAGGTTTTAGATCCTCTAGAGATCACAATTTTTATCTGATTTTGATGAAACTTAAAATATATGTTTAGTTCCCAAATGTAGTCGCAATATTTATTCTATTTTAAAAACTGTTCAAATATATCACGGTTATACCCTAATGACGATTGAGTTTGAATTTCGTGACAATCAGACTGAATTGCCCGACAAAAAGACAGTTTTTTGGGGTTTTTTTAGCTCGTCCTCTGTCAATCTCTCGCAAAATATGGGTGTATCTTGCATGGCAACCGTTTTTTATATACAGCCACATTTTCATGTACGAAAAATTGCGTTTTTAGCCTGTGGTCCCTCTAGAGGTCACAATTTTTATCCGATTGAAAAAAACGTTTGAATATTTCACCGTTACACGAAAAATTGCTGTTTGTTTTAGCTTGTTCTCTATCCATCTCTTGCAAAATGAGGGCGTATCCTGCCTGGCAGCCGCTGGATGACCTGGCACCTGGTACGTTCGGGCATTTTTATGCGCGAACTCTTAGGTTTTTTTACTGGCATGCGCACAGGTACTATTTCTTTTTCTTTTAACAAGTACCCAAATCGGGGATTTCGTGCGGAGGTAGTTCGGAGGTAAACAGTCTGTGAAGTACAACACTTGCCACTGTACCTGTGTATCGCTAATTATAAACCGAATGTGTGAAGACAGTTCATACATATCACTCAAAAATTTTTCAGTACAAACTCAGTTGATTCACGCTCGATTTGCTACTAAACAAACCCATCGGTTTATTTTCTCAACAGTGTGACCCGAAGTGACCGCGGATTTATTGACCTTGTATGAACTTATCCATAGCTATATCCTTACACCGAGAGAAATTATCTAGTCTCGGTGAAAAGAACCATGGTCATCTGGTAGAAAATTACTTTTGTATTTTTTGGAACGGAAAACAGTGTTTTTAGAAGCAAACTAACCTGCCGCACATGAGGAAGTCATTATACTAATAATAAAAGGCGAGACCTCTTTTTGCGGCGCAGGCTTATCACTGAGTAGTAAACCGTCCACAAACAATAATATAGGAAGCCTAGTGACGAGTGTAGTAAGTATGCTATAGACTATAGGTTTGAGTCGAGATTATTCGCTTTCAGTTTACTCTGTTTTTGCGATAACCAATTATGTGAGAAATACCATACTGACATTCGGTTTTTAAAAGTTGTACGCGAACTAAATGCGTTTGTTAGATACTGACAGAACAGCCCCGAGTCGAACAATCGCCGCCCGAGCTGTCTTCGTCAGCTAATTTCACAATATCGTGCAATAGGTGTATTAATGTGATTTTTAGGTTTAACCCCGCAAACAATGCCAAAATAGTGTTTTCACTGCTTACAGAAAACTGAAATTTAAAAAAAAAAATTTTTATGAGGGTGACCCTCCCACACACTCCCTATCGAGCTGCGCAGCCTCATGCCTGGCACATACTGTCAACATTGTATATTTTTCCGTTTCCGCCCTTCCCCCCCACAATATATATTTCACGGCTACGTTGCGACAGTACCAGCATACCCAGTTGTTGACACCCATTACATCACTCCTGTCTAACAAATCATAAAGCTGTGGTGTTACGGTGGCGGCATAGTATTTCACCGTAACACCACAGCCACTCTAACCATTCATAATACATCTAACTATCCCTTTACAGCACTTCACTCCCTACACATTTCCCCTCGTCCTACTTTCCCAAACGTCAACAACACATCTCATACATCCAGTTCGCTGATTAACCCTTGTACCACGTCTACTGGTTAATAGATTTGTTCAAATTTGGTTTGAAATGAAATGAAATGGGGTTTAACGTCCTACTGATCTGCTCCTAAACTGGGCAAATGAAGACGGGCAAATTTGGTTTGAAGCATTGGGGGCATAATAAGAGGATGAACCCTAGAGATAAGATTTTTTCAAGGATCCTAGATCCTTATCAAATTTGCTCAACATCCAAGTTTTCCTTTTGGATAAGCTGCAGATTTTCCAGAAATATCATGTGTTTGAAAAAGATTTATATTATGATCGAAACGATTTCAGAATTTAAGAACTGTTGATTTACGAAATAATATCAATCTATCTAAATGCTTATAAATTTTCAGCTGGATATCTCCTTTGTGTTCATGAATCTTAGCTAAAATGTCCTATAAAATTGTAATCAACAAAAACAAATTTGTTCTTTCTACCCACATTTTAGGTGGTGGAATTTGAAAGTCAGTGCTCTTTCACTGAGGGCTCCTTTAACAGTTTTTCCTACAGTAACTGTACAGGACACACTAGATATATTGAATAAAGAAGGGTTTGATCAGGTACCGATAGTAGATGATAATGGGTGAGTTTTTTTACACAACCAAATATCTCAACCTGTTCGTTTTCAGAAAGAGTTTGGTTAAATGTTTTGATACACACACCTTTCATTGTGTAACTTCCAACCAAACCAATTAAGGAAGACTTGATTGAATCGCACTCTTGACCAAGTCAAAATGATGCCTTTGATATCCAGATAGTTCAAGTAGAAAATTTATAGAAAGCAATCTTTTTATCTAACGTTTTGTCAGTAAAAGGGATGAAGAGAAACAAAATTTAGGTTACCAGGAGAAAATATGATAAACTTTGAAACGAATTAGAATTTTCAGTCATTTTTTGCTTTGCCTACTTTTTATACCCCCACATTTTCATGTGGACGTATATTGTCGGCACCCCTGTCCATCCGTCCGTCCTACTTTTGATACGCCCACATTTTCATGTGGACGTATATTGTCGTCACCCCTGTCCGTCCGTCCGTCCATAACTGTTTGTGAACACTCTACAGGTCACAATTTTTATCCAATTTCAAGGAAACTTGAAATATAGGTTTATCACCCTAAGATCCCGGTTCCTTTCGATATTGGCATGGATTGGACTGTAACTTCATGGATTATGGCCGCTGATTGTACAAAAAATCACGTTTTTAGTTTGTGAACACTGTAGAGATCACAATTTTTATCCGATTTGTTTAAACTTGAAATGTATGTTTATAACTCACAGATATCGGTTCCTTTGATATTCGCGCATATCGGACCATAACATCCTGAATTATGGCCCCTGATTGTACGAAAAATCGCTTTTTTAGCTTGTGGACCCCATAGAGGTCACAATTGTTATCCGATTTAAAAAAAACGTTGAAATATATCACCGTTACACCCTAAGGATGGTTGAAATCGAATTTCGTAAAAATCGGACCCAAACTGATGGACAAAATACCCGCCCCTCGTTCGCGTATCAGGGTTGTAGACCCTCTGGAGGTCACAATTTTCATCTGATTTTGATGAAAGTTGAAATGCCTGTTTATAACCTACAGATCGTGGTTCCTGTCGATGTTCGTGCATATCAGACCATAACTTCCTGAATTATGGCCCCTGATTGTATGAAAAATCACGTTTTTAGCTTGTGGACCCCATAGAGGTCACAATTTTTATCCGATTTAAGAAAAAACGCTTGAATGTATCACCATTACACCCTATGGGTGGTTGAGTTCGAATTTCGTAAAAATCAACCGAAACTGATGGACAAAATGACTGCCCCACGTTCGCAAATAGTGTCACAATATTGTGTATCAGGGTTGCGGACCCTCTGGAGGTCACAATTTTCATCTGATGTTGATGAAACTTGAAATGTATGTTTATAACCCTAATATCTCGGTTCCTTTCAATATTTGCGCATATCGGATCATAACTTCCTGAATTATGGCCTCTGATTGTACGCAAAATCACGTTTTTAGCTTGTGATCTCTCTACAGGTCACAACTATTATTCGATTTAAAAAAAAACGTTTGAATATATCACCGTTACATCATAATGTTTGTTGAGTTAGAATGTCGTGAAAATCGGGCCAACACTGCCGGACAAAATGGCTGCCCCTTATACGCAAATAGTGTAAACATCTGGTAAATCAAGGTTGTGGACCCTCTAGAGGTCACAATTTTAAATGAATTCCGATGAAACTTGAAATACATGTTTATAACCCAAAGATATTGGTTTCTGTCAATATTCGCGCATATCGGATCGTAACTTCCTGAATTATGGCCCTTGATTTGACAAAAATTCATGATTTTAGGTTGTAGCGTCACAATTTTTATCCAATTTAAAAAAAAAACTTGTGAATATATCACCATTACACACTAAGATCTTGGTTCCTTTTGATAATCATGGATACCCGAACTTTACTTCCTGGATTTTGGCCCCTGATTGTTCGAAAAATCGAATTTTTAGCTTGTGGATTCTCTAGAGGTCACAATTTTTTCCGAATTTAAAAACCATTTGAATACATAACCATTCCACCATAGTAGTGTGTAATACGAAGGTTGTGGACCCTCTAGAGGTTACAATTTTTATCCGATTTTGATGAAACTTAAAACATACCTTTTTACCCAAAAGATCTCTGTCCCTTTTGATATATGCACATTTCAGGCCATAACTTTCTGGATTATTGCCTCTGATTGTACAAAAAATCATGTTTGTTTTTAGCTTGTTCTCTATCCATCTCTTGTAAAATGTTGGCGTATCCTGCCTGGCAGCCGTTGGTTAAAACTAAACCAGATGAATTATTTTATTGTAGTCATAACAGGACGAACCCTATCGATATTCAGCGTTCCACAATCTTTTCTATCACAGTTATGATAAAAGATATAGATTTGAACAGATTTTTTTCAAATATGAGAGGAAGTGTCCTATGGATACTCAACATTTCACAACTTTCAGTTCAGGTTTTTTTTTCTCCATTTGTACCAGAGTTATGCCCCTTTTTCAAAAACCTTGTGAACATGACAGGGGCTATAGTGTTAAACTGATTCTTTTCAAATTTGTTTTAAAGCATTTAGGTGTCATGAGAATATGAACCCTATTGCGAACTTCCATTCTGGAATTGTTGCCCCATTTCCGTAAGCCTTTCTTAATGTGATAGTAGATTTTGAGGCTATAGTTTTGGTTCAGATGCTTTTCAAAATCGATGTGAGGCATCATGGTCATGAGAGGACAAATCCTATTGATTTGGAGTGTTCTGTGACTTTCCATTCCAGAGTTATATGCCCATTTGCTAAAAACCTTGCAGTAAGCTACAGTTTTTATACGCCCACATTGAAATGTGGTCGTATATTGTCTCCTTCGGTCCGGCGTCCACAATTGCTTGTGGACGCTCTAGAGGCTAAAGTTAATATCCGATTGACTTTAAATTTATATACAGTGTTTAAGGCCATGAGACGTAGAAGCCTATTGATTTTCAGCGATTTCCGAAAATTACTGCCAGAGTTATGGCCCTTGATCACTTCAAAAAATCTTGTGGACGCTCTAGAGGCTAAAGTTAAGATCCGATTGACTTTAAATTTATACACAGGGTTTAAGGTCATGAGACGAAGAAGCCTATTGATTTTCAGCGATTTCTGATAATTAGTGCCAGAGTTATGACCCTTGATCACTTCAAAAAATCTTGTGGACGGTCTAGAGGCCAAAGTTAATATCCGATTGACTTTAAATTTATACACAGTGTTTAAGGTCATGAGGCAAAGAAGCCTATTGATTTTCAGCGATTTCCGATAATTACTGCCAGAGTTATGGCCCTTGATCTTTTAAAAAAATCTTGTGGACGCTCTAGAGGCTAAAGTTAATATCCGATTGACTTTAAATTTATACACAGTGTTTAAGGTCATGAGACGAAGAAGCCTATTGATTTTCAGCGATTTCAGTTAATTACTGCCAGAGTTATGGCCCTTGATCACTTTGAAAAATCTTGTGGACGCTCTAGAGGCTAAAGTTAATATCCGATTGACTTTAAATTTATACACAGTGTTTAAGGTCATGAGACGAAGAAGTCTATTCATTTTCAGCGATTTTCGATAATTACTGCCAGAGTTATGGCCCTTGATCACTTCAAAACATCTTGTGGACGCTCTGGAGGCCAAAGTTAATATCCGATTGACTTTAAATTTATACACAGTGTTTAAGGTCATGAGGCGAAAAAGCCTATTCATTTTCAGCGATTTTCGATAATTACTGCCAGAGTTATGGCCCTTGATCACTTTGAAAAAATCTTGTGGACGCCCTAGAGGCTAAGGTTAATATCCGATTGACTTTAAATTTATACACAGTGTTTAAGGTCATGAAACGAATAAGTCTATTCATTTTCAGCAATTTTTGATAATTACTGCCAGAGTTATGGCCCTTGATCACTTCAAAAAATCTTGTGGACGCTCTGGAGGCCAAAGTGAATATCCGATTGACTTTTAATTTATACACAGTGCTTAAGGTCATGAGATGAAGAATCCTATTGATTTTCAAAGATTTCCGATTAATTACTGCCAAAGTTATGGCCCTTGATCACTTTGAAAAAGTTTTAGTGTATTATAAATGTTTCATTACCGAAAAAAGTAAAAATATGCGACAACACTTGTTGACTGCCCGGACGATTTAGCTGCTGTGGGCGTATGTTTCGTTGCCTGGCAACCTATCTTTAATAGATTGGTTTGTGAACGCAATACAGGCTACAATTTTTGACAGTTTTTTTTTTAATTTGGCGTGAAGCATCGTGGCAATGAGGGGATGAACCCTGTCGATTTTCAGCAATCCCAGACTTGTTTTGAGTTATGCCCCCTTTTTCAAAAACCTTGTGAATGTGATAGAGGTTGTAGTTGTTGATGGGTACTTTCCAAATTTGGTCTGAAGCATTGTGGTCATGAGAGGACGAAACCCATCGATATTCAATGTTCTATGCTCCAGGGTTATCGTCCCGTTACCTACAAACCTTGTAGACGCGATAGAGGCTGTAGTTTTCAATGGATGTTTTTCAGATTTGATGGGAAGCATTGGGGTCACGAGAGGATGAAGCCAATGACCCCTATTGATATTCAGCACTTCGCGACTTTTAGTTGCTGAGTTATCCCCTTTTCTGAAAACATTGTGATCTCGATCCTAGGTTTTAATTGGTAACGAATTTCATTCATATTAGTAGGCAAGCATTGAGGTCATGAGAGAATGAACCCTATCAAAATTAAGCATTCTGCGACTTTCCGTCCCGGAGTCATTCCCCCTTGTGAACACGATAGAGGCTATAGTTTTCATGTCGCGTATATTGTTTTCACCCCTGTCCGTCCAGCCACAATTTGCTTGTGGACACTCTACAGGTCACAATCTTTATCCGATTTTGATGAAACTTGAAATATATATGACGTAGGTTTGTCTATAAAAGATCTCAGTTCCTTTCAAAATTGGCATGTATCGGACCGCAACTTCATGGATTATGGCCCCAGATTGGGTAAAAAATCACGCCTATGGCTTCTGGACACTTGAGAGGTCACAATTTTTATCGGATTTTCACGAAACTTGAAATGTATGTTGATAACTTAAAGATCTCAATTACTTTTTGATATTCGTGCATATAGCACCGTTATTTCCTGGATTATAACCCCTAATTGCGTTTTTAGCTTGTGATTCCTCTAGAGGTCACAATTTTTATCTGATTTTTAAAAAAAAATGGTTGGATACGTCACTGGTGCACCATAATGATGGTGGAGTTCGAATTCCGTCAAAATCGTACCGAAACTGCTGGACAAAATGGCTGCTTCCTGTACGCAAATACTGTTAAAAGTATGTAATATCAAGATTGAGGTCACAATTTTGATACGATTTTGATGAAACTTAAAACGTGTGTTTATATCCCAAAGATCTTGGTCTCTCGATATCTGCGCATATCGAAACGTAACTTCTTGGATTATGGCTCCTGATTTTATGAAAAAATCACAATTTTAGCCTTTCGATCCTCTCTAGAGGTTACAATTTTTATCCGATTTTAAAAATCTTTTAAATATATCATAACACCATGATGATAGTTGGGTTTGGACCGTAATTTTTGGGATTTTGGCCCCTGATTGTTCGTAAAATCATGTTGTTAGCCTGTGGACCCTCTTAGAGTTCACAATTTTTATCTGATTTAAATTTTTTAAAAATATATCACCGTTATACCATGATGACAGTTGAGTTCGAATGTCGTAAAAATCGGACCGAAACTGCTCCAATTTCTTCCAACTGCTAAAGATCCTACGCGCAAGTGAATTAACGAAAAAAAAAAACCTTATGTTAGTCTCAAAATGACCTAGTTTGTGTCAAGTGGACATTATACCCTGTCTCTCTCTCTCTCTTTCTCTCTCTCTCATATCATTGATAAAAGAAAATAGACAACTCTTAGTGACAACTCTTAGCAACTGCGCGGAAGACTTAGCTGCTATGGGCATCTGTTTCATTGTCTTGCAACCTATTTTTCAATGACCCTCTTACTAGCAATTATGTATCCTGGAAATCTGTAATTTTTGTACAACATTCCATACCATTGATTGTTTCAGAGATTGTATAGGCATGGCTACTGTTGGCAATATGATGTCAAAAATAATTAAAAACAAAGTTAGTCGTTCGGATCCTGTATCAAGAGTGATGTACAAACAATTTAAACAAGTAGGTTTACTATTTGATAGAGGGTTTGGGTTAGTCTACACTTCATTTGTGGTCGGGGTATTTTTAGAGTTTTCTTGTCCTTTAACATTAGTTGCTATAATGATAATTTGATGTCCACTGCCTCAATTTCCCTCATTGCTCTCTATTTGTAAAGTTGATATCATTGACTAATGAACAAAAAAATTTATAAATGAAAATATATGGCACAAACATTTCAATCAATATCAATGTTATCTTGCTGTGAAAATATGTGATCCTGATATTGGATATTTAAGATAAAATTGACAGTACACAAGTTATGGTTTCGGGTACAATTTATATGTATAAAAATTGGTTTATATTCAATTTTAAAAAAAAAAAATTGTAATTTGTAATCTATCCTACCATGCTGTCTTAGAGACCAAGTGAAATGTGCATGCTTAGATCAGCATGCTGACTTCCAACATGAAAAGCACAGTGTCTAATTTGTGGGGGAAAAATCCAAAGTGTTTTTTGATAACTTTGACAATATTGTTTCTTTATTAAAAGCGATTTCGATAACTATAGCAAACGCACAAAAGGCTGTAAGGTTTAAGAAATATTTAAGACTAAAATTAGTCTTTTTTTCACTGAAAAAAATATCTCTAGATAAGAAATAGATAAAATGTTGTAATGTCGCGTAAAAATGCAGTGTGGTTTTTCCCTTTCGGTACTGCAGGACGAAGGGCCTGGCAAAGAACAGTGTCTTCTGTCTGAACCATCGTAAATTTTAAATGGATTTCTTCGATTACGAACAAACTACTTAACTTTGGTTATTATAAACTTACCTGTGTGTTTGAAATCAACTCCTGTTAAATAAAATCCATTGCACAACTAGTTATCCCAACGAATAAAAAACTTTTGACACAGAATAATACCTATATGTAAGCTGATTACGTCACTCTTCGGGAGATATCATTTCGTATAAGGGGTGACAGCATAGTAAATCAAATGCGATTTTTGGTATGACAATTCATGTTTGGTTTAAGAATAAGCTATAAATCTCAGCTCGGCATTGAGTTTGAGCGTTCACACACATAAATTATTTATAACATAAAGACTTTATTTTTATGAGTATCCGTGCAATTAGTGATATTTTCATTGTGAATAAAATTTGATAGACTGGCGATCAATGGTTTCAATATAAATCTCCTATGTAATTGCCTTCAGTTGATATTTTTCGTCACCTAAACTCAAATGTTCGTAATGATCGCGTTTTGTTTTCATTGCAACACATGGTTGTCAAACTATCTGTAAAATTAAACCACCCCCGCAACAGCTGCATTGGTTTTGCCTAAGAGAGAACTTTTTTATTCGTTGGGATATTTAGTTGTGCAATGGATTTTATTGAACGGGAGTTGATTTCAAACACACAGGTAAGTTTATAATAACCAAAGTTAAGTAGCTTGTTCATAATTGAAGAAATCCATTTAAAATTTATGATGGTTCATAAGTAGTTGTGTAGATGGGACAAAAACACAAACCCCTATGTAAACATTGGCATGCACATAAAAGAACCCTTCACAGTTTGAAATGCCACTGTCCCTAGAAAATTGCCTTCATAGCACTCTGCCTAGCATATGCCTATCTTCAATAGTCCTGTACTGCGAATTGTGTAGATGGGTATGCGCTACACAGTATACTATGAGGGGAAACTTTGCCTGGATAGCGGCACTACCAGCCTACTCTTTTATTGAATTCAATCAATTCTTTGAAAATGGTTACATACCATTATCATTGTGGGTGATTATCAGTGTCGGGGTTGGTGCATTACATTGCATGCGCGGGTTCGCTGGTACCTTCAAACGGTACTGTGAGTGTTTTTCGATAATTATATATTTATCAATAATGGATGTGATAGATTTTTGATTTAATGTTTTTGCGTGATCACCAGGACCATTTTGATGTGAAATATATGTATTGCTTTTGTATTTTGACTTATCTGTCATGGAGAATGTTTACATTGTGCCTGTCAACTGTCAAAAATTCAAAATGGCAGCCCTGATGGGCCTGCCGTTAGCAACCTTTATTGACAAATTGTTTGATCTCTGCAACTTTTATTGTAAAAGCCTTAGTGGTTGACTGTGCCTTGTGCTCTTGTCCTTTTCGTGCCTGTGATTTATTGTGGATTAATGTGGATTTCGACATACAAATATATAATATTAATGCGCAGTCATGGTAAAGCCGTTACTTTCAAATAATTGTATAACAGTTTTTGATAAGTTATAATTTGTTGATAAATTTGTGATAGATTTCAGTTCTATTGTCGTACATGTGGAACATTTTTATGCGAAGTAGTGTTTGCTGTTTAAATGTAACTATTGCGAAGAAACATTTATTTATCGCCTTTTCATTAAAATTTAGGCGTAATGCTAGGAAGTATAGATTGAAAACAATATGTAAGCGCCTAGGAGGCAGTTGTGTATTTGTCCAGCGTGTGTTTTTGTTTAAAATAGTATTTCTGAATGCAGTATTTTATTAAAATGTTTCATAATAATTTGTATCTGTTGTGGCTAGTGAGCTATCTGAATCAACTCACCTACTATCAATCACAACTGAACTCTTACAACAATAACATTCAAGCCAATCTCATTGTTTTAGTAATAATAATAATAAGGAGTGGAATGCAGTGGGTTAAAAAGATTAATGTTTTAAATCCAACTACTACTATTAGAAATGATACAGTAAAAAGACACAGAACAGTGAACAGGGGCAATCTTGTTAATATTCCAATAATTTCTGAACAAATCGATCAACGCCCAGACAACACACAATTGTGTCTTAAAGGCTCAATACCACTCTTGTTGTAACTGCATAATATGTCCCAATCTTTATTCTGGTCAACAAATTGTACTATTTTACAATATTCCAATTAATTGGTGACACAAATTTCATCTTAACACACCTAATTTAAAAAATTGGAAAAATTCAACTAAATGACTTGGATTTTAAAACATTTTCGAACCCTCTGGACAAGTAAAATAGGATGTAATGGACAATTTACACAACAGGTAGGACATTTAAACATCTAGTACTTAGAATAAGGCTATTATTTATTTTCTGGAGCTGTCAAGCCAGCAAGAGTGTTATTGTCCCTTTTAATGCATGGCCCGTCGAAAATAAAACGGTCGCTTTGAATGATTATATATATGACAACAACATTGATATTAATGAAGTAATTGGGAGAAATCAAAGACATTTAAAAGTTATCACCACCAACAGACCATATGAACCTCTAAACACTAATCCACTGAATATTAACATTAATCATAGCAATCTCATCCAGCTCACCTCAAACTCTATCAAAAATTCTAAATCTGTGAACATGTGATCATTTTACACCGTTGTAAACGGCAGAAATGGAATCTGCGCCCCGAAAAAAATATATCCTAACACTATAGATGACTGCTTAATCAATATCAGCACATCGTCCCATTTTCCCGCCAAAAATGGCCGCCATATTGTAAATATGCAAAATAGGTGAACTTGTGATCATTTTACACAGTTGTTACTGGCCGAAATGGTATCTGTGCCCCTGAAAACATAAATATTGACACCAAAGACGACTACTTAATCAATATCAGAACATCGTCCCATTTTCCCGCCAAAAATGGACGTTTCTTGGAAATATCCAAAATAGTTGAACATGTGATGATTTTACACAGATGTAACTGTTAGAAATGGAATCTGTGCCCCTGAAAACATATATTTTGACACCAAACTCTACTATTTAATCAAACTCAGCATATCGTCCCATTTTCCCGTCAAAAATGGTCGCCATCTTGGATATATTGCCATGAAGTGATGGAAAAAAATCTGAAATATAGTCACGTCCCCTGCCGATATTAATACATTGCCAAATCATAGTTGATAAGTCGATATCATTTTAAATTTGGCGAAAATAAACAAAATCAGTTGGAATATTATCGCAAAATGGGTAGCCTCAAATAATGGCCTCCCATACTATGAAGAGCTACTCAGAAAAAAATATCAACATTGGTTTTTTGTCATTAAACATCAAAACCTTAAAAATAAAACTTATTCCACGATTTCTACCCAAAAAGTCGATGGATGGGAATTATGTAACAAATCGAATCGGAGTAATCTATATAATCAGTGACAAAACTACCAAAGACTGTCCCAGGTGGACACAATACAGGCCAAAATGGAGCAGATCTCCAATAGGAAACAATAATAGTTCCATAGGCTTTACATTTCTCCATGTCTTTCAGAACACAACTAATTAAATAAATAGGTGGTACAAATAAACCCTTAACACCATGCCAATCTACAGTGAAGGTATCAACACAAGTAGTGCCAGGATTCCAAAATCTGAAATAGAAAACGGACAACTTTGCATTATAATTGGACGCGAATCAGTCACACACATGGGACCCAAAACGTTTATCTATTATATCAAATAACTGTACAGAAATACCAGATATCATCATAATCTATAATTTTAGACAAGAGATCAGCTCTTTCATTTTAAGTACGAGGAATCCAGTCTATATCTAACGCAATAGATGATTTCATGCAAGTTAAGAAACTATCAAAAGCTATATTTTGAAAATCTGTTTTCATACTTCCTTTATTTACAGTGGCGACAGCGCCTTTGTAATCTATAAACCATTTTACACGACTCCCCTGCAAAATATGTACTAAAGAATTTAAAACCTGTGAACGGTTACAAGTTCATGCCAAGTTGAGCTATTTTAGATTTAGTGATAACCTGCGCCAACAGTGACTTGATCAAGTCTTTAAGGTTGAAGATAATGTCCTCTCGGATCATTATTTTGTTATTTGTGAACTGATTTTCGCAAAACTAAAACCAAAACAAACTTTAATTTCCTATCGCAATACAAAAAATTTGAGCGTTGAAGATTTTAAAACATCGATAACAAGTAGTAAACTTTTAGACCGTGTCCAGGGAGTTCCTGATTTTGACGATCAGATTAAACTTTATAATGCAGTACTAACAA